CGAGCACGACCACACCCTGCGCGGGCTTCGCGGGCCGCTTGGCCGGATTAGTTGCCACCGGCCTTTTTTGTTTTCCTAAAGCATTTTCTAATTTAGTTTCTAAAGAAAACTTGTAAATTCCATATAAATTTGTGTTGTTGACAAAAAATAGTGAAACTAATTTTGTTAGGTTCCTAAAATTATGATCTATCTGCTGGTATATCTTGTTCACATAGCTTCATAGTATTTTCAGGAGTTATCTAATTAAATTGAGATGCTTAATATTGTTAAGATATAAACTTGTAGGAATTTTGTAATAAATTGGTGATAGTGTTGGCTCTAAAAATTTCACAGTAAATTCCTAATATTATTATGTGCTCACTATAATTTTTGTAGCTCCTTAATAATTAGTTTGCTAAGATAGCTAATGAGCCCTAGTTTGAATATATATTAAATCAATGAAATGAAGTAAAGAAACACCTTGAGGATTGTAGAACTAAAACACTTATCGAGAAACAACGCCTTATGCAACAACATGGATACGTAGCCTAGTACGTTAGTCATTAGTGCTAGCTCGTAGCTTGAGAAGCGTAATCGTATTTTATGAGTTGCGGTTATCATTGATTAATTGCGTCTCTGTGTTGTATCCATGTATGTCATAATATGAAAAACGATGGATCGTGGAGATGATCGGAGTAGCGAAAAAGATAGTGCCTTGATGATTGTCACCATAATAGAATGCTAACTTTTGGTTATATCTTATCCAGGCAAGCCCCGGTGCATAACCCCTATTATTCTACACTTTAGTTTATGCTTGCGCATTAAGTTTAAAGGAGTTGAATGAAATCCACTTGCATAAATATATCCTTATCCTATAAATCTTACTAGTATGACAGGATCGTATAGATTGCTATGCTACAAGATTCCGGTAGAAGTTGAGTGATTACCTGTCACTCATGAGAAATAGGAAAATATATTATTGTTACTATTATTATCACATGGAATATGAATGGATAATATTTGGGGACCAGGCGGAACTGTACTTTAGATTTGAAATTGGGTTGTGTTGGACAATCAAGCGAGGCTCTGGTTGCACTCAGTTTCGTCTGTGTCGATTGAGGACTATCCATTGCTGTGGATGGTAGTTAGGTCATAGACTTATTATCCTGAGCACATATTTGTTTATGCGAGCGGGATGACTTGTTACTCTCTTGTCATGGGTTCCGACTCTTTCTGGACCGATTTTTAGGGGTGGGTATTAGGTGGAGGTCTAAGCACCATACTGAGACCGGATCTAGGTGTTGGGGGCTTAGAGTTCAAGTTTGGATGGGGACCTGAACCCCTTGATAGGAGTGGAACAGGTTGGTCTTGTTTGTGCCTAGGGTACAAGCGATGCATGTGTTTCAGAGTACCTAGCTGGGATACATTGATTTGTGAATCACCGTTTCTGTGAAGACGGTATGACATGGCTATGGTCTAGCACCGTAATAAGAACTGAAATATGAAATATGGTAAAATAGTTCTGATTACTTACCATATGCTTGAAAGTAGCATAGGTGCTTACATAGAATGATTAGTTAATGAATTAATGATGACTGCTAATAAAATTGAATATAAGAACGTATATTTAGTAATGCTTCCTACAGATACAATAACCCACAAGCCAGGTAGCCTTGCATATCCTTGGAATCTTTTATTTTCCTCTTGTCGGGTAAGTCTTGCTAAGTATAATCGAGTAATCAGGGTTTTATTCCCCCTGTTGCAGGTGACCGAAGGATACATAGATCTGACTCTTGTGTGTGGAAACCTCCTGGTGGGCTCAGAGAGGATTTCTTTCACGCTACGACCATAGTGTTTATTTATAACTCTCATTAAAAGTTTTTAGAAGAAAAGTTTTATTATTTGTCATCATATCTGGTTTATAAATGTTCACTATGTTAATGATTCATCATTAACCTTTATTTCCGCTGTAACTCTGATTATATGTTGTTCTCCGCTGTAAGATAAAAATGTGAATCTAAAATGTATAAACTCTTTTACAAGTAAAACTGTCTTAATTCCGCTATTGCATTCAACTTGTTTAAGTACTCTAATATTGTAATAAAGTGATGTAAGAAATGGTTAAGAATGTTGTATGCTTTATTCTCTCATTTATGATCCTGACGGAAGAACGTGGATTTTCGAGTTCTCCCTTATGGTGTGCTCGACGGAACGGTACGATTTAGTACACTCTCTTAGTTACTTAGTGTCTAATAGAAGACAAGTATTCTTGGGAGGACATTAGATTAGACGGTTCTGCTACAACTATTCCCGTTGGTTTTCTTTGAACCGACAGGAATCCTTTTCTAACGGTTTTGATAACTCCTGACGGTGCTCACAAGCCGACAGGAATAGTTGACGTCTATCCTGACGTTTTTTTCCTCCCCGTTAGGATTGTACAAGGTTCCTGTCAGTTTTAATAAAATCATCAGGAATAATCCTTTCTTTTATAGTGACCCATATCTAAACCAGTATAAATCTATATCTCGTGTGCTACCCGTTTGATCTGCTGCTGTGATACACAAATTAAACTACTAGTCATAGGTAAAAAAAAAACAATGACAGCTGCATAGTCGTAAGGAAACTAGTTCAGTCACAATTCACCTCGTGCTAGTGTGACGACAGACGAAATGGTATTTCCCCCACGATTTTTCTCCCCCAAACACTGATTTATTGAAATGACTTCAGCTATATATGTCATTTTCCAGTCGTGATATGACCGGATATATGTCGATTCCCATTTGTTCTTTTCCATTGTGTGAACTATGACCGGTGTATATATATATATATATATATATATATATATATATATATATATATATATATATATATATATATATATGTGTGTGTGTGTGTGTGAATATGTCGATTCCCGTTTGTTTTTTTCCATTGTGTGAACACGAGTACTACATGACTACATATACAGAGAAAATAAAACAACAAATAAGTACAATAAAACTGTTGAGATATACTTTTTGCAGCTAAAATACTTGTCATATTTGACATTGTATATGGCCTTTGATGTGTATTGACTAATAACTTTTTTGTTGAACATATATTTTCCAAATTCTTCAAATTTATGAGATTTTGTAAGTACTTTTGAATACAAATATACATATATAACTTACATATTTTAAAACTACTCAATCCATCCCAAATTGTAAGACATTTGACTTTTTTTGACACCAAGTTTGACCATTTGTCTTATTCAAAAATTTGTGTAAAATATCACTTCTTTCGTCGTGGTTTGGTTTATTAATAAAATTTCTTCAAGGATCACTTAAATTTGACTATATTTGCACAAATTTTTTGAATAAGACGAGTGGTCAAACTTAGGGCTAAAAAAGTCAAACGCCTTACAATTTGGGATGGAGGAAGTATTAATTTAAATCTATTAATCCTTGTACTTTTAAGTTTTGAAAAAAAAGACGATATACTTATGACCGGAGGGGGAGTATGCATGTGACAGATGACATATGGATATCTAGTAGAGGAGGACTCGTGGATAGCTAGGTGAGAAGCTAGCTGCTGGGAACTTAGTGACCACTCGATGGTTTACTTGTCCGAGCAAGTTGTTCGTTGGATGGTGTTCACATGGATAGGTCCATATAATTCCATATCTAGATAGCTATAGCTTTGGCAATTTATTTGTCATATTCGGTCAAGATTATCTGTATGAAATATACTTGATTTCCAGAAGATTTATTCGTCATATTCGTTCCGCCATTGTTGGTCGTTGATTGCCATATTCATTTTCAGAGAGGTCATTTAATTTATTTGTCATTTTGGGAAGAAGATCTAATATATAGGACCATGCATTTGCATGCCTTCATGTTGAGAGCCGGTCTTCACACTGGATTTATGTAGAAAATTAACATGGGAGTTATATTATTTGCACATGGATCGGTAATATATGATGTCTTTTTTTTTCATGCCCAAGGGATTCCTAAACAAACTGGATTATTTTGGGTCTAAATTGTACCGGCAAGCAGATGAACATAAGAAAAATATATATCTTGCACCATGATCATTACCTTATTGAGTAAGTGGCTTTTTAGACTCCTCACATCTGATGGCATTTAAGAGCAACTCCAAGAGCCTTTTAATATCCTTTCTAATCAAGAGGAATAGATATTTTGGTGAAAAAAAAAATCATCGAGCCTCTTTAATTAGATATCCAAATATAGACATTATAAATTCCGGATATCTCGCTAGCCAAAGATAGAGAGTGAGGACGGCTCACTAAAGTGTCCACAAGATACAGAAAAATGACTGGAGGGTACAAGGATACAAAAAGCGAATTTTATATTCAAATAACTCTTAAACAATAATTTAGAGAGTAAATTTTAGAGAAGCTCTTGCAGATGCTCTAACAACCATTACCGCGCAAAAATATCTTGCATCTAAATCTTTAATTTAAGTTTAGTAGAAATCAGGTGACTCATACTTTTGGTCTAATATTATGAAGGTTAAGCATGATTTTATCCACTTTATTTGGGTGATTCGTTGTTAAGAATGGATCGAAGGGAGGTTCTAGGAGGACAATTGCCTGCGTAAGGCTGCCTGCTTTGAAGGACTAGTATCCTAGCCTTTACAATATAGCAAGATCAAAATTTATCACCGTGGTTAACCCACACTTATGCATCATCATCATCGTCATCAAATCGATAAAAGCACAAGTGGTTTCAGACTTGAGCCGTGGTGAACACGAAAAGGTGAAAGTGGACATACATGCACGCGCGCAGAAACCACACCACACGGACACGGGAACAGCGGCGACCCAGAGCACCGGAGAGTGCCGGGCACACGTCGAGATATTTTATTTTGAAGAAGAAGACGGGGGCTTTTATTTCTACCTAATAAATTAAAACCCACCGAAAAGAGATCGAGCAGTACCCTCATTTGTTTCTCCAGCAACAACTTCATTCGTCCCTCGCCGCCGGTGTGCGCGCGTCGCGTGGGTGTGCATCCCTAGCTCTCGCATGAAGATCGGGTGCGACGCGTGCGAGCGCGCGGAGGCGGCGGTGCTGTGCTGCGCCGACGAGGCCGCGCTCTGCCGCAGCTGCGACGCCGCCGTCCACTCCGCCAACAAGCTCGCCGGCAGGCACCACCGCGTCGCGCTGCTCCCGCCGTCCACCGCTCGTCACCCCTCGCCCAGTCCCATCGTCGACGACGGCAGCGGCGCCGGTCACCCCGCCTGTGACATCTGCCAGGTACGTAACGTGCGTACGTATAGTATCCTAATCCTAGCTAATAACGGCCGACGTTGTAGCTTGTAATTTTGTATAGGCGCTCGGCCGAATGAGTTCAGGTCGATCAATTAGCAAGAGAGTACAATTTAATAACTGGTTCTAGATACAGCACAAGAGGTTGCAATGGCCTTTGTATGCAGATGGGTAGCTAGCTAATGAGATTGGATCAGTATTAAGTCACATTCACCATAGGTAGATGGGTATGAACAGAGGCGGAACCAGAGAAAAAAAACTAGGGGGGCCAAGATGAAGGAAAGACATGGAGATAATACCTTCAAGAACTCATTTTTTTCTCTTTAAAATAACTACTACTACTATGGCTCAAGAAGTATATAAAAAAGTTTCAGACCATAGGGGCGGCCTTGGCCCCTGCTAGCCCCCCTGGTTACGCCTCTGGGTATGAATATTTCTATGAATATGATCAAAATTAAAGAAGCTTCACTTATGATGAAACTAAAAAAACATCATACCCGCTAACATTATTTTGAACAGAAAGAGTACAGAGTATGAAGTTTTATTTGTTACCTTAACAAGCATATTCTCAACTAATATAAGGATACCAGCCCTTCTCTCCATAAAAATTTCTTGTTAATTTCCTGAAAGAAAGGTTTGCCTGGTTGTTGGCTTGTTGCTGCCTCTCTCATCCAATGTGGTCCAGTGTCTCGAGAGATGCAGCTCATGAGAAGTACAGACATGATATCACAACCCGTACGTATCTGATGGGATATCTTTGCACGTGATCTTGTCACTCTACTTGCTACGATCGTTTAATTGCTTGGTGATGCACAACGGTCTACTATCACTGACATGTTATAAATACGCAATATTAGCGGTCCCGCAACCAATGTTATTACGTAAAAAAATTTTCAATTGAAATGATTATAAATCTGAATAAACACAGAGTCACCGTAGATAAATTTGCGCGCGGAAAAAGGAGTAAAAATTTTTGATCGCAACATGACGATATTGAATTGAACAAAGTTTGTTTTGCCCTGCTGCTGATTCCTCCCTCGTCTTTTTGGCTTTTTGCACGCGCTGCTGCTTCTGCCCGATGCTGGTGCTGGCAGGAGAAGACGGGCTACTTCTTCTGCCTCGAGGACCGCGCCCTGCTGTGCCGGCCCTGCGACGTTGCCGTCCACGCCGCGGGCGCCCACGTCTCCTCCCACCGGCGCTTCCTCATCACCGGCGTCCGCGTGGGCGACGTCGAGAGCCTGAGCCACCACGTCCCCGGCAGTGAAGGCGTCAGCCCCAGCCCAAGCCCCAGCAGCGGCAACGGGAGCAGCAGCGCTCCCTGCAGCTCCGGCGGCAACCCGATGACGACGACCATGCCTGGCCAAGTGCGGTTGTTGTCGTCGGTCCGCGCAACAGCAGATACGACAGAGGGCTCAGACGAGCAGCAGTGGCTGTGGAGTGAGTTCTTGGCCGACGACGTCGGCGTTGGCGTTGGCGTTGACAAGGAGCAGTGCTGCCATGCTGAGCTATCTGAACCTGGCTCGTCCGACATTACTAGATGCTGACATGTTGAGATTTCATCAGATCATTTGAGGTGATTTCTGGAATCAGCTGATCAAAGAACAAATGTACTAGTATCGTCAAGTGTTTGGTGAGCTTTAGCCTCTCTTAACCATCAAGTGTTATAAATTCTTCAGGATTAAAAGAATATAAATTGTACTCCGGTTCCACAACTTTGGTTGTTTTGAAGTTTGGATATAATTGAGGTCAAAATTAATAAATGCTCAAACGGACAGTACAACGCTACATGGCACAGGGACAACAGGTACGACTAGCTAGCGGTGCCACCAGTTGTGCCACGGCAACAACGCAAGCATGGCTTTCCTCCTTGGTCTTAGACGTGCTGTGCTGGACTGCCGGTGTCAGCACGCTGGCACGACAGGTCTAGCCATATCAGCCCGGGCATGACAACCATCAAGTGTTTGGTGAGCTTTAGCCCCCGCGTTGTCCCCGTCGGGCAACCCGGGCAGCACCCAGCGGCTCTGCCTCCTTTCGAACCAGCGTCTCTCCTCTCCCTCGCCGCTGCCGGAGCAGGCGGACCGCATGCCTTGCATCCGCTGGAAGGCAGCGGTGAGGCTTCTTCCCTGTTCTTTGACCGGCATGCTCATGGCGACGCTGACAGCGAGGCACGGTGGGCGGTGGTGTGGGCGCGGCCAGATCTGCACCCCAGGGGCTCAGATCTGTCGCCTCCCATACCGGATTTGTAGGCTACCATTTGGATTGCTGCAGGGGTGTGGTCTCCAGCGCGAAGATTCGGCGGTGTGGTCTTTGTGTTTCTCGTCTTGGTCGTCTCCCTCGGCCAGCACTAGCACCAGCGGGCGGTGGAGGCGGTGGCCATGGAAGAAGAAGAAGAAGAAGAGGAAGAAGATGAAGAGGAGGAGGAGGTCCTGCAGCGGCGTGGCCGGTGGCTTCGGTTGTCTAGCGTCAACCTGTTTATGGTCGAGCCCTTCTTGTGGGTTTTGTTGTAGGCGGCGGTGCTCTGCTGTTCTTGGTAGTGGTGTGGCCTCTAGGTGGGGGCACACTCATCTGCTTGCGGCGCCATGGTTTTCTGCCCCGCCTGACGGTGCTTCGGTGTTTTATGTGTGGCATCATGTGACTGTCTTGGCTCATGCATCAACATGGTGTGGTGACCAGAGATGTTTTGGTGCTTGGCGAGCTAGCAGCGGCTATGAGGGGGGCGCCACATTGACGAATCACACTTGCCAGTGACTCGTTCGATGTCGTTGTGAAAGCTCACCGGTGGCGGCTCACTTTGGTTAGATCCATGCTTTGGCTTGTGGTTTGGGGTGGGGCATTGGGAGAAATCCTTGCTTGGCTATGCTGATGCTGACAATGGCGACGCCTCAGGGTGTCGTGGACATCGGTGGAGGCATTGTCGTGTGCCCTCATCCCACTCCCGCATCTACCTTGGGGTTCTTTTCTTGGTTGAAAAACCTGTGCCGATATTCTAGTTGGCTTTGACGGCATCTGCGGATGTCGTTTCCTCCATGGAGGCATTGCTTAGTGAACCCCTTGGTGGTTGTTGCTACAATAGGAAAGGTGGCCTTTGGTTTTGTGGGCAGCTTTGATTGTGGTGGTTGTCATGCCATTGCTAATGTCGTGTGTTGGTTTTCGATGTTAGTGTTGTATAGTGTTTGTTGTTTTCTTTTATTTGTACTTGCTTACTCCTTCTTTATTAATACATAGGCCAACAATTTAATCTATATGCTTCTCTTTGAAAAAAGATTCTTCAGGATTAATAAAACTATACAAAATTGTAGTCTCTCATAATTTTGGTTCTTTTAGAGTTTGGATATGACATTATATGGCACAATCGACACCACCTAGGCACAACACTGCTTTGCATGGGGATGATAGGCACAACTAGCTAGTCATATGTCGCCTATTGTTGTCATTTGTTATGTTCACAGTATCGATCTACAAGTGCAAAGATACCATTGCAGCATTTCACGAGAAGTATTTCAGATATCGTTGTTTATATTTCCATTGGGAAGGTATTGATGAAGAGTGACAATTGGCATACTTGTGATTATATCATAACTAAACATCAAAGTCTAGATAGGGGTAAATCATATGATGAAAGTAGTGTGACACACACAAAGATTCTACTTCTACAAAGAATCAAACTAAGCTAGGTGGAGACTAAAAAGAGAAAGCTAAAGCTCCTATCAAACATCCATGCAGTGACATACATGGTTAGGACTTAGTTTCATGTACCTAGGCATGCCAGGTATCACCCTACCCTACTAGTGGTAGCTAGATGGCGGTGACATCTTACCAATTGCCTACGTGAAAGGATCTATGAATGACTAGAGGGGGTGGATAGCCTCTATTAAAAAGTTCCACAAACACAAAGACACTAGGCAAAGTGTATTAGTATAAACGACAATCATAATAGCCACTACTTGCCTCGCCTAAACAACATAACGCAAGCCCCCTACACAATTCTAGTTGCAAGCCTAAATAATTAAGCACTCACACACACAAGCGACTAGAGGCAACGTAACACCTAACAACTAGTGAGCTAACTAAGAGAGCAACTAGTTTACACTACTCACTAGAAGACTAAGCTAAACTAGGAACTAAACAAGCTAGAAAGCTACCACTACTCAGCAACTACACAAGCACAAGTTATGAAATGAAATTGCAAGTGTAGAGAGTGCAAACCAATGAGGGAAAGTGACACAATTGATTTACCCCGAGGTCTGGTTGCTTGCCGACGACCTACGTCATCATTGAGGCGGATTCTTTTAGTTCACCGCTTCACTAGTCTCGAGAGCACACTAAGAACCACTCCAAGCCTTGATGATTCCACTATAGTTTCTCTTGGCGAATCTCCCACAAGGATGAGAACAAAAGCCCCTCACAGAGCCAATGATCGGAGCCCCCGCACATTCTCCAACCGGTGCTCAACGGTCTCCACAAGCACCAAGCCAGCTAGGTGACGACAATCATCAAGAGTAACAAGAGAATTTCAAATCACAAAGATTTACTATTGCCACCAAATAAAACTCCCAAATACAATGCACTAGAAGTTCTCAATATCTCACAAATATGATCACTGAGTCAAGAGAGGGAGTGGGAGGGTTTGCTTAGCTCTTAGAGGGAGTATGGATGTCAACAAATGGACAAGAGAGGTCCCCAAACCGAGCAAGCCACTATTTATAGAAGGGGAGAGAAGAAAGAGCCATTACTCTCCTCATCTAGCTTCTGCGCGCAATGGTAGTCCAACAGATCGGCTGCAACGGTCGGGTCTGACACAGCCAATGGTCACTTTTTTGTTGATCTCAAGCTTTGGTTCTATGGCCTTGTATTATGCAACGAGAGCTCAGCTAAATCGCAAGCAACGGCAACGATTACACAGTGTGGAAAGGAATCCGACCAACTTTGTATTTGGCCCGGTTCCCATTCTTTAGCTAATTGAGCAATCTCGTGCGCAGACGAGTTACATGAACGAGAAACATATCTAAAATTCAAAACAACAAAACGAAGTTGAAGTAGCTCCCGGATCGCTTTGAAAATGTTGCCGCTTGTACTTAGATCCCTGGAACCAGTACGGATTGCTTCCTCAAGCTGAGTTGAGTCCGTTTCAAGCTTGATGTGGGATATGCCAAATTGATCTGCCAACTCAAGAGCTCGCAGGCACGTTGTTGCTTCAACCATCAGTGCATCACATGCCAGCCCCATATTCCCTGCGCTAGCCAGTACAACCTCCCCGGTCTGATCACGAGCCAGAAAGCCCCAAGCACCCTTCTTGGTCGTTGGTGAAAAGGCACCATCATAGTTTATCTTCACCTGATTGCTAGCTGGAGGACACCAAATCTGTTTAGTCCTCGACGAGGAAGTGCTTCTTGGTTGCTGCTTCTTCTGAAAGTCATGAGCCATTATGGAGACACTTCTTATCACGGATTCGGCCGTCATTAGCACCAACAAGTCATTAGTCTGGTGCATTAGTTTTAATCTGGTGCCCTAACCACCGTAAAAAAAAACCACCGTAATAATCTGGTACTAACTAGAGAGGTCCAAAACACGTAAAATTCAACACTGGATTAGTCCGGTGCTTTTACACTGGATGCCGCATGCAGTGCTCCAACATGTTAATCATGACTGTTTTGTGACCTGGAACATTTTTCACAAAGTTTTTCTCACCCTACGGCCATTGTTGTCGTCAACAATAAGCTTAACATTTGAAATAAGATTTGATCAAACCGTCTTGCTTTAAAACATTGGTTATTATTATTTTTAAATATTTTGTTTAGAAATATGAAAGAAAAATCATGGAGAGAATTTCTATTTTGTACATGCGCACACATCCATGCACATCAAACTAAAGCATATATAGTATCTTTTTATTTGAATCCCACTCTTCGCAAATCCAACTGACACACATGTATGCGCGGAATCTTTTTATTGTTCAAATTTTTAAAATATGATATCTCTTAAACTATAAGTCTGATCGATGAAATGTTTGAAGGCTATTGTTGGAAAAAATATGCGGAACAATTTTGTAATTCTCACATGTCTATGGAAGTGTTTTCCATAATGTCTGATCACACATAGTAGCAGTAAGAGATGGTGTGCCATGTCCAAATCATCAAAGATTGGGAGGACAACATTGGTCATCATACAACATACCAGATGCATAAATTAAAGCATCCACACTGAGACAAACCTTACCGACATTAGCAATCACAAGATGGCAATAATTGTACTACTTGCTATGAACAAGCACAACTTGGTCCTTTTTAGCATTATTCATAACAAGTGATAGTAAATGTCCTAAGCCAACCCCATCTAGGGTTAGGATTAACTTTTTAAAGGCTTGGCTTCCAACAAAATCGTGTAAAGTCTTAAACACCCTCAAATATGCCAAGAATCTAGTCGTTAGGCCAACTGATTTTTTTTGTTTTTCAGCCCTTTTTTTGAAAGATTTTCACAAATACGCCCCTGGCAATATCCTTTCAAAAATAGACCCTGACCTCGGCGCCATGACAATTGACGCCGAGCTTACACGTCTCGGCGCCAAATGCTTTGGCACCGAGATCTAAGATCATTTTCTACGTGTCTTTGACGTGGCTGCTTGTGTGGCGCGGACGTGGCATGAGCTCGGCGCTGTGGATTTGGCGCCGAGCTCGGCGAGGGTCGAGACATTAATCGGCAACGCAGCGTCCAACACCACCCGTTCTCCATCTTCCTCTAGACTCCAGCCTCGTCTCGCGGGAGTCACGCCGCGGTCTTCCCTTCCCCTGCCCGAGGTTCGACGGCGCCCGGGTCGTTCTGCTCTACGCCTCTGCCACAGGCCACCGGAGGTCCCAGCGCTAGGAGCCACCGACAGGCTGCTGCACGGTGGAGCGACGGCGCGGACGTGCATTACGGCGCACGGGGCTGCGGCGCAACGGAGCATGGGCCACGCAGGTCTGCGGGCCTACGAACGCGGCGTAGGGATGCGGGGGCCACGTAGAGGGGCGTCCACGTCGGGATCCGTGAACAGGCTGCGCGACCCTCCCTCGTGTGCCAGCAAACCACCCCGCACCGCCGCTGCCCTCCTAGGACCTCCGGCGGCCTGTGGCAGAGGCGTAGAGCAGAACGACCCGGGCGCCGTTGAACCTCGGGCAGGGGAAGGGAAGACCGCGATGCGACTCTCGCGAGACCAGGCTGGAGTCTGGAGGAAGATGGAGAATGGGTGATGTTGGACGCTGCGATGCTGATTAATGTCTCGACCCTTCGGCTCGGTGCCGAGGTCGGCGCCAAGATCCATGGGGCGCCGAGCTCATGCCACGTCGGCGCCACGTAAGCAGCCATGTCAACTGACACGCAGAAAATGACCCTGGACCTCAGCGCCAAAGCAATTGGCGCCGAGACGTGTAAGCTCGGCGTCAATTGTCATGGCGCCGAGGTCAGGGTCTATTTTTTGAAAGGATACTGCCAGGGACGTATTTGTGAAAATCTTTCAAAAAAAGGGCTGAAAAACAAAAAATTCGGTTAGGCCAATGGCACTATGTAAATGGTGTTTTTCTTGTTTGCCTCCCCTATGAATAGGATGACATCGTATATGGTTTCACATCTGATCAACACTCTAGTTACTCTCTCTTTACCTGAGTGTTGTGCATGTGTTAGTTTCCCAATAGAAGCTCTCCAAGAACACCACCACCAAGTCATCTAGGTGGTGATGACCGACAATGTACATGTCAAGCAAGGACTCTCGCTTGACTTAGCTAAGCCAAAGGGAATGGGTTGATGAACAACACATCCCACTACTCTCTAGGAACTAATGATGGCCTTATCCAATTAACCCACAAATCACTCTTGTGCTCTTCTCTTGCTCTTGATCTCAAAGTACATTTGTGATTTCAATTTGGACTAATGCTCAATTCGAAATGTTCAAGTTGGCTTCCATTCATTGCATCCAAAGGCTAGATCTGAGCTAACATATGCAGATTTCACAAGTGTCCACGAAAACTACAGTCAAGGCTCAAATTAATTTGTTCAATCGTCGCAAACCTTTGATGTAAATTAGTTTAAAGAACAGCTAGCTCCCTTTCGTTTGTGTTTGTTTTGGTTCCACCCTTCCATGGTAGTCTATGGATTACTTGCATTGGGAATGATGTAACAAACCATAACTCTGCTTCTACTTAATGAAACACGTGTCACAAGGACACGCTCGCGAAAAAAATTAATTTGTTCAAGCTACTACTCTTTTCCCCTGACCTCTTTAGTATGGCCAAAGGGGATAAAGGCCAAACGACACTTAGGGGCCATTTGGAAGGGTGAATCGTTTCGGATTCTTGCTTGCAACTCAAGAATCGATACCAAACGGCTCACAAGATAAATGTTTCAGGTAGAAACGGTTCTAAGCGATTCAGGTTTGTTTGCCTACGAATGTGAATCACTAAAAACGTGGTTTCACGGTAATTTTGATTCTGCAGCCAAACGGTCTAGTGATTTTATTCGCCATCCGAAACGTTTCTTTAGAGTATCTAGATCTAAAACATTTCTACGAGAATCTGGATCCCTACCAAACAGGCCCTTAGAACAAGTCCCTCCTTAATCTTCATGCATGTATCCTTTGCAGTGTTACCATGAAAACCAACATAGGGACAAAGAATACCACATAAGTCCATTGTAATGACCTAGTTAGAAAAACTCAAGATTGCACCACCCCAACGACACACATTAGTCATAATCATCATGATTCACTAACCACCAACCCCAGTTAGGGCCATAGATGTTGCATACATGAGGTGTGTATCAATGAGTCACTTTGGCTATAAATGGGGATTATCCATCCAACGAATTTTGGTGGCATTGCTCTCTTCGTGTTTATACTTGATCAACCCATTCTATTTCCTGAACCGAACAAAATAAAAGCAACAATAGAAAAAAAGATGAATCATATTCATCCTTCAAACCAAGTCAGTAGGTTTATAAAAATTTCTAACGTTGTACTCACATCCCCAATTAGGAGGATGTATTCGACCATCATCTGAGCTGTAAGAAGAATAAAGTTTTCAAAAGAAAAAGAGGAAGAAAAGAGAAAAAGCATCCACCAAGCTACATAGTACACTTGTTAACTACAAGTAGAGGAGGCAATAATTGCTCACCTGTCCACCAATGCAGTTTTTCTATTTACATGCCGGTTTTAGCAACTGACAATTACCCCTAGATTATTACAGTCGGTAGCGGAGCAAAATTACAAATAAGCTTGTCATTTCAAATAAGATTTGATCAAATTGTCGTGCTTTTAATACATTATTGATTGCTATTATTTCTAAATATTGTTTTTAGAAATACGAAAGAAAAATCATAGAGAGAATTCTATTTTGTACCCGCACACAACATGTGTGTGCGGTGTACACATCCATGCCCACCAAACTAAAGCATACACAAAATATTTTTATTTGAATCTCACTCATCGCCAATCCACTTAGCACATATGTATCTACGGAATCTTTTTGTTGTTAAATTTTAAAATGTGATATCTCCTAAACCGTAAGTCTGATCGATGAACTGTTTGAAGATTATTGTTGGTAAAAATGTACCGAAGAATTTTGTAATTCTCTCAAGTCTATGAAAGTGTTTTCCATATTGTCTGGTCACACGTACTAGCAGCCATAGATGGTGCGGTGTCCAAATCATGAAAGATTTAAAGGGAGGACAACATTAGTCATCAACTCATCATACAGCACACAGATGGATAAAGCATCCACCGAGACAAACCTTACCGACGTAAGCAATCACAAGAAGGCAATAAATGCACTACTTATGAACAAGCACAACTTGGCCCTATTCTCAAAAAAAAAAGCACAACTTGGTCCTTTCTAGCCTTATTATTCATAACACAAGCGATAATAACCGTCCTCCCTCCAGAGAAGGTGATAATAACAGACGTTTAGCAATCCGTCTGGACTCCGGAGTGTCGGACACACACACACGATGTCCTTGGTGTCGTTTGTGTTCCACCAGTTCATCGTCTATTCCAATCGTTTTCCGGGCAATCATGGGAGAGTCCACAGATCCTTGTAGAGAGCCTCGCCACCGCCATGGTGACGCTCCAGGTCATGCAGTTCGTCTTGTACCATGCGCGCTTCGGTGCAAACCACTGCTCCGTCCGGTGGGTCGCGTGGGCGGCGTACTACTTGCCCGTGCCAGTTGCTGTCCTGGCCGTCGCCACGATGCTGCGGTTCCGCTACCCACCACCATACTGGCTGGTGGCCATCTTCTTCGCTGCCGGGCAGGCGGACACCATGGCGGCCTACAGCCTGCTGCGCGACGGCGATAAGCAGAGCGTCAGGCGCTTCGCCAAGCGGGCCCTGCCCTTTGCGTACCTGGCTCTCGTCTTGTTCCATCGTGGAGATGGAGCAACGACCATTAGCAGCAGCCTGCGGCGCAAGGAGATGTTCTCCCTCGTGCTGGGCTTCCTCGCCGTCCTCCAGGATCTGAAGATCAGCCGCAGGGCCATGGTCCCTCCGTCGGAAATCTGCAAGTTCGCTGCTGATCACGCGCGATTCGAAGCACAGCGACGACGGAGGGCAGCATCACCCTTCGCAGATTACGACGATGAGCCCCAGCCGGAGCAGGACCGGCCATCCGTAGTCGCGGTGGGTTCGCTGGAATCGTACCGGAGTGCCGTGTCAGGATGCACCACACTTGAAGACATACGCACGGGGCTTTGCTCTTGCTCGCGACGGCTGGAAGACGCCTGCCTCTCTTCTGCCCTCTTCCTCCAGCTGCTGCAGCGCTATGGCCATGGCTACGGCAGGTCTCCCCAAGTAGCCGAGCGTTCGAGCGCCAACCGTGCTTTCACGGATGTGCTTGCAGATGCAGAGCATTGGTGGGGGTGGGACGACAGAACCTTCGAAATTGTTGAGGTACAGCTATCTTTCATGAAAGATCACTTCTTTTCTGAATATGGTGGCTCGTCTTCTCGCACATCCTACAGGCTTTACGTGGTCTACTTCCTCCTGAAGATAAGCTTCTTGCTAAGTGTTCTGAGTTTGGTCACCGAGGAGAAAGAGACACCACGGCGCAGCACCTCTGCAAGCTTATATGCTCTCATTTTGCTCCAGCTCTGTCAGTTTTTTGGTTACCTGAACTCAGATCGGTTTCTAGTATCATACATGTGTGATCGTAGAGAGGATCTAAGCGGTATAGTTGAGGCAGCACCACTCAGCAGCACAGACAGCATATTTGTCGCGATCCCCATGTTCCTCTTTGAAGTTCTTGTTGGACACAAACCCAAGGTCCATCTAGGGCACTACTCCCTTGTTGAAGATTTTGACCGCACTTGCCTGATGCAAAGGTTGATGGCAAGTAGGGCGGGATATCGAGCGAGCTCGGCTTGGCTCGGTCCAGCTCGAGCTAGCTTGTTAAGCTAATGAGCCAGTTCGGCTCGGCTCGTTAATATTACGAGCTAGAGGGCAGCTCGACTCAGCTTATTACCGAGCTTGAGTTGGCTCGTTTAGCTCGCGAGCTACTAAAAAAAATAGGAGACATATGTTTATATTGTTTATGCTACATTAATTTCAAAAGATGTCGTCCACCATTATGCAATCATACATGATTAATACATATCAGGTTTATCAAAAGTATCAACCATGCAACATAGCTGGTCCATCCATAATCATGCAGTTCCAGCATACTAACTACTTGCTTGCCACCACAAACTTAGGAAAGTCCATAAATTCAATATCAACATCATCATCATCTCCCTGAAAAACAATCCATAAAATCAACATTTAAGTACCACAACAATTATAAAATCAAAATTCATATGAAACAGCTGAAAATAAGGATTACATATCAATAGAATAGGTGTACACTTCTAGGTCAGCATCATTATCTTCTGGATTCATGGTCGTGTGCTGATAGGCCTCAGCTCGTTTTAGCCTGTGAGCAGCTCGCGAGCTGGCTCGTTAAAATAGCGAGCTAGACTTTCAGCTCAACTCATAAAAAAATTAAAACGAGCCGAGTCGAGATGAGTTGAACCGACCACGAGTCGAGTGAGTTGGTGAACCAAAAAGTATTTTGTCCAGACCTAATGGCAGGACTGCTGGGACGACGACGGCCTCAACCTCAAATGCAAAGAGGAACCCATATCAGTCCTTATAACGATTACAAGGTGATAAAAAGTTCCATTAGTTCTGGAGACAGGTCGTCGCAGTTTAACAGGCTGAAGAGATGGATTTGTGACAAAGCAGCCGACGACTATGAGTCAGAGTCGTCAGAGCCCCGTAGATTCTCATTCGAGGCCACCTATCATCTGCAAACCAATTAGCCTATGCAAATTTAGAAAATATATCAATCAGGATCACTAAATGCTAATCCAATAAATATGATGAAGTGTGATTTTTTTGCGCTTAAACCCTCCACCCGCTGTCCTTATTTTTTGCGCTTAAGCCCCTTCACCTTATCTATTAGATCAGCATCCAGTGGTCCTGATCGATAGTTTTTAATGTTGTACAGATTTGTTGGTTTGTACATGATATGTTGACCTCCTTCGATGACCAATCCATGTGGGTATGTGACTCCCTTGATTTCCGTGTAGCATGGACGCCCAAGCAGGAGACCAGAATCCACACCATCCTGATCTGGCACATCGCAAGCTGGTTCTGCGACATGTCTCTTGATGATGTCAAATTTCTTAGGCTTGAAAAGCTTTTTGCGGGTGCATACACGTTTGCCACGATGTTATCCAGCTACTGCGCTTACCTGGTGGCGGAACGCCCCCGAGTTGCTGCATGAGCATCCCTCCTTGACAAGGTCGGTCCTCGATCAGGTGGTGAAGGAAGCAAAGCTCTGCTTCAAAGCCGGCACATCATCAGAGGAGAGGTACGAGATGCTGAGGAGCTGGCGCTTGGAGCTGATGATAGATTACCCATCTCAATTCCGCGGCCTTCTCCCCCAGGGCATCAAACTTGGCCATCAGCTGATGATTTACAGTATCTCTGAGCGATGGAAGATCATGGCAGACTTCTGGGCGGAGATGGTGCTGTTCGTGGCAAGAGGCGACGAGTTCATCACTCAGCTCTGGGCCTTGCTGTCAAATGTGTGGGACAGGACCTCCATCAGACGGAACAACAACGATGGCGACTCGACGGAGTTTGTGCGTCGAGGCGTTGGAATCCTCCTCGAAGTTTTTGAAGCAGTAGACAAGATAATGTAGATATACTCCTGAGTTCATCACTCAGTCCTCGATCACTGAACATCGGCCGGATTTAGTACACATGTTTCATTTACAAAAAATCCGAGAATTATAATAATATTAGTAATATTAATATATAATACTGCTGCCATTGCAACTGCTTGTGTATTACTCCCACCATTTCAAATTATAAGATATTTTAACTTTTCTAGATTCATAGCTTTTTTTACGCATCTAGATATATGTTATGTCTAGATATATAGTAAAAACTATGAATTTAGAAGAGTTAAATACATAGGTGCAACTTACGCTTTAGTTTCACTTAGGTCCATCAACTTTGAAAGTGGGTTTTTGGGTCCATAATCTTTGTTAGTGGCACATTCCTAGCCCATACCCCTTTGTTTCAATTTTTTAACTGACGTGGCATCTCCGAGTCCAGGTGGACGCCGCACACACGCATGCAGGTGCATGCATGGCTCTCAGCGCACACTGTTTAGCCGCAGCTGTTGGTCGGAATTCACCTAGACTCCAGCTGCATGGCTCTAGGCTCTCGGCGCACCCCCGCACAGCTGTACGGCAGCGACGCTCGTCATCCTGCTCCCTCTCTCTCCAATCCTTCATGTTGATTCACCGCCGCTGCTGAGCACTTGGGATACGACGTGTTGCTTTGTCTGGCCAGTGGCCACACCCTGCACCGGGCTCATCGTGTCGGGCATCCGCCGGAGGAGACGGCCGTGGGAAAGAGCTACTGCACCAGGAGCAGCTCCTCCTCCTAGATGCGGAGGAGGGCGGAGTGCTGATGTGCCACACAGGAGCGGCTGCAGCGAGCGGCCAGATTCGTGAGTAGGAGCGGCATCGTCGTCTCTCACCTGGATCGGCCAGAGCTCACCGGCGCTTCGCCATGTTGCCCATCGGCTGTCTGCGCCAAGCCTTGCTCTGCGCTCAACACACTCTGCACTCGTGCTCGCATCCCACCACGGAGGTCTCCGCTCATGCTCCTCCAACTCCCTAGCCGCGCCGCTCCATGATCTCGTGTCGGCTGCTGCCACGAGCGACGCGCCGTGCCACGACGGCCGCTCGTGTGGGGCGACTGGGCGAGCGCCATGGCCACGCGTCGTTGGGCAGCCATGGCGGCCACGGCGCCTCACCCCCACCGGCGAGCGCCATGCAGGGCCACCATGTTGGCCGCACCATCACGAGCGAGCGCCGCTCCATCTTGGGCTCCATCATTATTGCCTTCTTCTCTGGCCAACAAGGTCGGCCCGACAGACACGGCACGGCAGCGCTTGGGACGAGTGAGGTGGTGCGCTCGGATACAGGCAGTAGCGGAGGCCCTCATGTCGTTCGTCTTCTTTCTGCTGGTGGCGAGTGTTAGGAAGTTCTAAACTCTAGGTGTAGATCTAGCGGGTAAGCTGCTTACTTAGATGGGGAACTGTTGATGTACCTCGCCCTGGGTCATTATTCGGTCCATGGCGCCGCAGCGGCTTGGACGCCGGTGTTGCAGCAGCTCGGCACAGTGGAGTCCAGCGTAGTTGTGGCGAGGTCCAGTGGCGATGGCGGAGTCGGTGGGGGCTTCCCGTCGCTGGCAGCACTCACTTTAGATCGGATTAGGTTTTCTTTTAGTGGGTCACGGCGGCTCTGGTCAACCTCGTAGTTAGAGCCCTACCCTCTCACCTCTATTTATAGTACTGTGCGATAGGGGCCCACCAACCATATTAGGGTTGGGCGCCCCCAATCAGGGCGCAGATCCAAGGGCCCAATAGGCCGTTGGGCCTATTGGTGGAGATCAACTAACATTCTCCCCCTTGATCTCACTACCATCTTTCAATTTCATATCATTTACTTTTGTTCATTCCATTACAGATTAGCGCATAGAGCATATTTCATCGTCATGGTCAATTGCCGATAGATTTAACAGCTACAAGACACCACTCTATTCTGAAATAGATACTTAACTTTGGACCATCTTTCATAATATAATACTTTATGTCATTGTGTTTGGAAGCACCACTTGACTTATTGTTGTGAGCATACTGTACTGCCGGATTATTATCACAGTATTACTTAAGTGGTCTATAGATGTCGTCAACCACCTTCAAACCGGGTATGAACTTCTTTAGCTAGTTCACCTGCCCCATTGTCTCATAACACGCTACAAACTCGGCATACATTGTGGATGATGTAGTGACGGTTTTCTTTGAGCTTTTCCATGAAATAGCTCCCCCTGTGAGAGTGAATACATATCCAGACGTGGATTTTCTATCATCTCCTGCATAATCAGAATCTGAATATCCCACTATATGGAGCGAATCAGATCTTCTATACGTCATCATGAGGCTTTTCGTTCCTTGCAAATAACGCAAGACTTTCTTTACTAATTTCCAGTGTTCTGTTCCAGGATTGCTCTGGAATCTGCCAAGTAACCCGGTAACAAATGCCAAGTCAGGGCTCGTACATACTAGAGCATATTGCAAGATTCCGACAACTGAAGCATATGGAACTATTTTCAATTTGATCGATCTCATACTGGTTCCTAGGGCATTGTAAATCTCCATATCTGTCGCCCTTGACTATAGGAGCAGGTGAGGGACTACATTTGTGCATACTAAATTTCTTCAAGATTCTTTCTATGTATGCCTTTTGTGACAGTCCTAATACCCCTTTACTTCTATCTCGGTGAATCTCGATCCCTAGAACGAACGAGGCTTCACAAAGATCTTTTATATCAAATTTTGAGGACAAAACTTCTTTGTCTCCAATAGTAGACTGACATCACTACTAGCAAGTAAGATATCGTCCACATATAGGACAAGAAAGATAAACTTCCCATTCTTAAACTTTGTATAGACACAATTGTCCTCAACATTCTCTTTAAATCCAAAAATTCCTTATTGTCTTATCAAACTTTTTGTACCACTGTCTTGAAGCTTGTTTTAATCCATAAATGGTTTTCTTTAGGCGGCATCCCATTCGTTCTTTTCCTTCCATGACAAAACCTTTCGGTTGTGCCATATAAACATTTTCCTCCAAGTCCCCGTTGAGAAATGTCGTTTTTACCTCCATCTGATGTAATTCTAAATCGTAATGTGCCACTAATGCCATTATGATTCTGAAGGAATTCTTACATGAGACTGGAGAAAAGGTCTCATTGTAATCAATTTCTTCTCTTTGTGTAAAGCCTTTTGCAACAAGTCACGCCTTATATCTCTCTATATTCCCTTGAGAGTCAAGTTTTGTTTTGTAGACCCATTTACAACCTACTGTTTTGGCTCCTTTAGGAATTATTTCCAAGTCCCAAAATTTATTGGCATTCATAGATTTCATTCCATATTCCATGGCCTCAAGCCACTTTGATTAATGATCACTTCTCATGGCTTCTTCAAATGAGGTAGGATCATCCTCCATTTGAAATTCCTCAGTGTTGTATACTTCATAGTCAGCAGAAATAGCTGATTTTCTAACTCTTTGAGACCTTCTAGGGACCTCTACATTTGGCACATCTTCTGTTTGAGGCTGTTGTTGCTTCCCCTCATGTGTCGCAATAGGTTCTACAGGATCCTAAAGAACAGGTTCCTTATCGTCATTCATTGTTGCCACAGGCGGAATAACAACAGGTGCTGGCACCATAGTATCTTGCACTGTTGGTGCAGCGACAACAGGTATTGAGAAAATTGGCTCATGAATTTTCGGAGTGGGCGCATACACCCGCTTCTCTTCAAGGTCAATTTCTCGAGCCACCATGCTCCCCTCATCATTTCATCTTCTAGGAAGACAGCATGTCTCGTTTCCACAAACTTTGTATGTCTGTCTGGACAGTAGAAACGAAAACCTTTTGACTTTTCTGGGTAGCCAATGAAATGGCACCTTACTATTTTGGGATCTGGCTTCCCAATGTTTGGGTCAAATACTTTAGCCTCAGCAAGACTCCCCCACACACGTAAGTGGTTTAGTGAGGGTACTCTTCCTGTCCACAACTTATACGGTGTTTTGGGCACCGACTTACTTGGTACTCTATTGAAAATATGAATGACGGTTTTTAACGCCTCCATCCATAGGCTCAACGGTAAGGTGGAGTAACTTATCGTACTGTGCACCATATCCATCAGGGTACGATTGCGTCTTTCAGCTACTCCATTCTGCTAAGGTTCACCCGGTGTAGAATATTGGGCTACTATGCCATTCTCCTGTAAGAACCTTGCAAACGGTCTAGGAACTTAGCCATATGGGGTATGCCGACCGTAGTACTCCCCCCACGGTTAGACCTGACTATCTTAATCTTTAAATTAAATTGGTTTTCAACTTCTGCCTTAAATATCTTAAACTTATTCAATGCTTCTGTTCTTTCTTTGATTGGATAAATGTAGCCATAATGTGAGTAATCATCTGTGAATATTATGAACGAATCATAACCATCCACACTCTTTATAGAAAAATAGACCATAGATGTCTGTGTGAATAATCTGTATTTTCCCTGATCTTCGTTTGGCATCTTTCTTAATTTTCTTTACATACTTTCCTTTTATGCATCCTCTGCATTGTTCTAAATCTGAGAGCTCTAATAGAGGAAGAATATTATTCTTAACTAGTCTTTCTATTCCCTCTCGAAATAAGGCCTAAACGACAGTGCCATAATTTTGATGATGCATCGTGAGCTTTCTTATGCCACCATTTCCAGAATAACTCTCTGTCACCAGCTGCTTTATCAGCTGGGTAGCATATCTTTGAAGAGCCAGTGAACTGGCTCTTTATTCTATCGAGGTACTCGGTGACCGTGTCATACTCTAGGATTGAGCCAACAATTGTAGGCTTAATTGTGTTCTTTATCACAACCAAACATTTCTTATTAGCAGTGACCCACTTCCTATGCTCAAGGTCATAGGACAACTTTTGTGATTCAAAATATCTCTCTTTAGTTGCCCAAGCGGCACCAGTCTCATTTGTCTCCCTCACCAGTGCCACATGCTCAGTGGAACACGGTGAGGTGACTACCCAGTCCATCTCAGTCAAGATGAAGGCCAGGT